GGGCGGGATGCTCCTGTGTACTTGGGTGTCACTGTCACCATGTCCATGTGTCTCTGTGTCCCCAGGTCCCCAATATCCCATGTCTCGTGTTCCTGTGTTCCCATGTCCCCACAGGTGTGGCCCCACCCACGTCCCCACACGTGTCCCCATGTCCCTACCAGCGGCCGGTGAACCACAGGTCGGTGGCCATCCCCCAGATCAGGTAGTCCTGGCCGATCTGGAGCCTCAGAGCGTCTCGGCACTGCCGGTGGCTCACGAAGGTCCGGTTGCTTCCTTTTGGGTCCTCGTCGGTGCCTGTCCCAGGGGAGGACACACAGGTGACGTGTCACCTCCACCCCAACACAACAGGGACACCCACTTTGCCACGTCCCCCAATGGGGACTCTCAATCCCCAGGGAGCCACTGGCATCGTTGGTGGCACCACCCCACTGATGTCATCAGCCATGGGTGACGCCAGTTCCCTCCAGCTTTCCCCAGCATCCTTGGGTGTTTCCATCCCACCTGGGGGACAGCAGCCCTCATGGGTGTCCCCAGCACCCTTGGGTGACACCAACCCACCTAGGGGCCCCCAAGCCACTCTAGTGACACCAACCCACCTGGGTGTCCCTGCCCCTGGCTGTCCCCAGCCCTAGGCGACCCCCACCATGTCCCTCAGGGTGGCCTTGTCCCCCACCCCTGGGGTGCTCATACCCATCTTGATGACAGAGATGATGGTCATGATGTAGTTGTCATGGGACGGCGACTGCTCCATTGCCATCAGCTTCACCCTGTACACTGGGGAGGGGGATGTCACCATGTCACCCCCACCCCTAAGACAGCACCCCCACTCCAGGGTGGCCCCTCAGCGTGTGGGGGGCCCTCCGTCACCTCCCCTTTCCTCCCCACGTCCCTCTACATCCCCGCCTGTCCTTCTTGTCCCTCCATTTCCCCCCGTCCGCTCCCGTGTCTCCGTGCCCCTCATGTTCTTCTATGGCCCTTCGTGTCCCCATCCATATCCTTTATGTCCCCTCTGTGTGCCCCAACTCCCCCCGTGACCCCATATCCCCCATTGTCCTTCCATGACCCCATGTCCCCCATGTCCCCCATGTCCCCCATGTCCCACCGTAGTCAACTCCCGGCTCGCAGGCGCGCTCAATGCGTTGGTTGACGGTGATCGGGACATTTTCCTTGTGCCGCACGAAGCAGTTTTCTGCGGGGACATGGGGACAGTGCCATGACAAGGTCTACTGTGGTAGTGACATGTCCCATCATGGCAGGGACATGTTCCACCATAGCAGGGACATGACTCCATCACAGTCATGACACATCCCATCTTGTCAATGACGTGTCCCATCATGGCCATGATGTGTCCCATCATGGTAGGGGCATTGACCCAGTCTGTCCCCATGTCCCTGTGTCCCCATGTCACCTTCGGCGCAGCGGCATACGTCCCCGTAGCAGATCTTGCTCAGTTGCCCACTGTCCTTGTCCGGATGGTAGAAACGGGTGCAGCGGTCATCTGCAGGGACATGGGGACATGAGGGGGGAGACACGAGGCGGGGGGGGACACAAGGGGAAAGGACCAGTGGGAGACATGGGGACAGAGCGGTGACATGTGGAGGGAGCAGTTCAGCAGGGGATGCAAGGGGACGTGGGGACACGGGGGGACATGGGGACACAGGCATGGGGAGAAGATCAGCAGGGACATGGTGGGACAAAGGGACAGGAGGGGACACAGAGGGAGGACACAGAGGGGACTTTGTGGAAGCAGGGGGCACAGAGGAGAGTGTGGGGATGGAGGGGACCTGAGGGTGACACAAGGGGACATGGGGCGCACCAATCTTGTAGTAGCTGTAGACGGTGACGGCCGCGGGCTGGATCAAGCCCACCCGGAATTGCTGGTGGGCCTTGAAGGCGAAACACTCCTCGGCCTTGTGCGAGATCTGGGGACGGGGACACGGGGACACGGGACACAGGGATGGCAGTCAGCCAGGCTGGGAGTCAGTGCCCCAATCCCCAGCCTGGCCCTGTCCCCAGCCATGTCCCCATGCTGTCCCTATTCATGATCTGGACCCATCCCTGTCCTTGTCCCCACCCCTGAGACCCTTTTCCTGTCCCCATCTCTGTCCCCATCCATGTCCCCAACTTCATTCCCATCTCTGTCCCTGTTCCAGTCCCTATCCATGTCTCCAACCCCACCTGCGTCCCCATCCCACCCCTGTCCCAGTCCTGTCCCCACCCGTGTCCCCAGCTTCATCCTCATCCCTGTCCCCATCCTGTTCCTGCCCATGTCCCCAGCTCCGTCCTATGCCCATCCTTGTCCCTGTCCCCACCCTGTCCCCATCCATGCCCTATCATGTCCCCATCCCTGTCCCATCTTGTCCCTTTCCCCATCCCTGTCCTATCATGTCCCCATCCCTGTCCCATCTTGTCCCTGTCCCCATGTCCCCCATGCCCCCCACGTCCCCCGTATCCCCACCTTGTCGAGGTAGATGATGAGGTTGCTGCGGTCCAACTGTGCTTGGTCGATCTCATACTTGGAGATGTACCTGTCCACCCCCTCCGTGAGCTGGGGACAGGGACACGGTGACACCGGGCACGCAGGACATGCAGGGACACGTGGGGACACGCAACCACACAGGGATGTATGGGCACAGGGACACATAGGGACACGGTGATGCTGGCCACATGGGACATGCAGGGACACGTGGCCATGGCAGGATGCAGGGGACTTGCAGAGATGTGGGGACACAGGGGAACATGGGGACACAGGGACAGTGACACCAGGGGACACGGGGACACATGGCCATGGAGGGAAAGGCAGGGACACAGGGATGCAGTGGCACAGGGGAATATGGGGACACAGTGACACACAGGGACACGTGGGGATGTGGGGACACAAAGACATGGAGGACACACATGGGGGTTAGGGAGATGTGGGGACACGGTGGGACACGATGGCACAAAGATGCAAGGTCCTGTGTCTCCCCCAGGTCCCCCCCGTGTGTCCCCATGTCCCCGCACTCACCCTCTTCAGGTCCTGGAAGTCAGGCGAGAAGCCAGTGAGCATGGAGACATCGAGGATGGACATGGTGGCATCCACATTGTCCAGGAACCTGTGGGGACAAGGCTGAGGCCACCCACCTGTCCCCAACTGCCCTATTGTCCCCAGCATACCCATCCCTGATGTCCCTGTTCCCAAGGATCCCTATGGGACAAGGTGGGGCTGAGCCCTGTTTGTCCCCAGCATCCCCATCCTTTTCCCTGATGTCCCTGTCCCCAGTATCCCCATTCCCCTCCCTATCTCCGATGTTCCTGATGTCCCCGATGTCCCCAGACCGTCCTACCTGGTGCAGATGGTGATCTTGATGGAGCGGAAGACGTTGTCCTGTTCCTTGCCTGTGGGGGGACATGGGGACAATGAGGGGACATGGGTGACATCAAAGGGGATATGGGGTTCCATGGAGGGTACACATGGAGGACATGGGGGGGATGTGGGGGACTCACCTGTCTTCACATCCTCCACGTGCAACCGCAGGTCGAAACTGTCACACTTGTTGTCCTTGTCGGGGACCTTGGCATTGTAGATGGTCACCACTGTCATCGTCCCCTTGCCCGTGCCCTCAGCTTTCACCGTGAAGTCCTCATTCAACTTGGTCTGCGGGAAGAGAGGACACTGGGGAGGGACAGGGACATCCCCTGGGAGGGACATGGAAGGGATGGGGCATCCTAGGCCATGGAGGCACGCGGGAACATGGAGGGGGTGTAGAAGGGACAGGGACATCCCAGGACATGGAAGGGACAACAACATTGCAAGACACAAAGGGGACAGGGACATTGAAGGACATGGAGGGGACAAGGAAATCAGAGGACATGGAGGGACATGAAGGGGACAGGGACATTCCAGGTCACAGCAAGGGAGGGGACAAGATCAGCCTGGGACATGAAGGGATATGGCAGGGACATCCCAAGGCTTGGAAGGACACAGAGGGGACAGGACATGCAGGGGACATGGAAGGGACAGGGACACCCAAGGCCATAGTGAGGGGACAAGATTGTCCTGGGACATGAAGAGACACAGAGGGGACAGGGACATCCCATGGACAGCAACAGCAGGGCGAGCAGTGTTGCATCCTCATGGTCCTGCTGGTGACAGTGACAACGGTGACAAGGGTGCCGGTACCTCGGCAGAGCGTGCCACCAGGGCGTTGCGGTTCTCGATGCGGTAGGTGACGGCACTGGCACGGCGCGGCAGCAGCACCGACACGTCGAGGTTGAGCTCAAGCTGCCGCGGAGTTGAAATCTGGTACTTGGCCAACGCTTGGAATACCAGGATGGTGGCCTGCAGGGACACCTGTGTCACCAGGGCTTGGGGACACCATCTGGAGCATCCCCAAAGCCCCCTGGGTGGCCCTGAGCCCAGGGTGACCCCAAGTCCTGGGGACACCTGATATCACCTGGAACATACCCTTGGGTGTCTTACGGAGCAGAGATGTCTCCCAGGGACAGGACATGTCCCTGAGGGTCCCCAGGGTCTGGAGGTGTCCCCAGGGGCTAGGGCGTCCCCCAGGGACAGGCCTTTTGGGTTTTCCAAAGCCCTTGAGATCCCGTGGGACCAGGGGTGTTCCCCAAGGACATGCCATGTCCCTGGGGGTCCCAAGGGCCCTGAGGTGACCCCCAACGCCTTTGGGGTCCCCCAACGCCTTTGGGGTCCCATGGGACCAGAGGCGTCCCTCATGAGACAAGCCATGTCCCTGAAGTCCCCAGGGCCACAAGGTGACCCCTCAACCCCTCAACCAAGCCCTCAACCCCTATCTTCCTGTCCTCCTTCCCCATGGCAGTGGGTGCCAGGACAGCACCCATGGGTGCCAAGGGAGTCCGTAGCCCACCTGAGTGGATCCGTAGACACCCCCGCAG